ACAATGGTTGGGACTGGGCTGTTATAGCGATCAGTTCGTGCACGTATGGGCTGGATGCGGTTGTGGTGTCGAACAGCAATTCCGGGCTAGGGGATCTCAGGTGGTAGTAGGAGCGGTGTCGAGGATGGTGTAGAAGCTTCTTACCAAATTTGCAGATGAGGTCGTGGTGATGGTCAGTGAGAGTCGAAAGGGTCAGTGTGTTGAGCGCTTCTTGATATGGAGTAGGAAGGGGAGAGAATAATCTTGCATGCCCTCTTTTGCACTTTTCTAGGTGTTTACGTTGTGTGGCATTTAGGGAGGAAGACCAGGTAGGGGAGGCATAGGTGAGCTTGGGAAGTATGAATGTTGTGTAAACACTGAGGAGCTCGGGTGCAGGAACTCCGAGGGACTTGAGTCGGCAGAGGAGGTGGAGACGGAAACTGGAGGATTTGACAACTTCACTGACGTGTGGTTTCCAATTTAGTTTGTTGTCTATGCTGACGCCGAGGAGCTTCGTGGAATCTACAACCTGGAGTGTGTTCGGACCTAAAGTAATGGAAGGAGGTGGGACAATGTCGGAGGAGAGGTTGATGTGCATAACCATGGTCTTGGTATGGTTGATGGTGACATGGTTGTTGGTGGCCCAGTTTTGGACCTTACTGTGCACCTTACTGTTCCATGACCACATTTTCAAACGTTTTCACGTAACTGGGAGCCAAAATTATACGCATCTTGGTTCAATAGCCTCTGTAATTTAGTCGCCATTTTTTACACGCACACACACACCTGGATAACAACAGGCCCGTGGCTCTCAAGGCAACTGTGGGCCAGCTTTCAGCATCGATAATCTATTTATGTCTTTCCGTTCTGTCTCAGCCTATTCTTCCACGCAGGACGGGACAGTGGAAGGTGGTGGAGAGGGGGTAGGGGGTGAGATCAACAAAGTAGCAATATGTGCAGCCTCTCTCTCTCTCTCTCTCTCTCTCTCTCTCTCTCTCTCTCTCGGAATTCATTGGGGCAGTGTGAATGGTTTCAGCATCAACGTCTTATTGATCAATTGCAATGCTGATACCGCTCTCATGTTGCCAAAGTCAGTCGACCTTCATAACACACTACAGGTCGTGCTGACTCATGAAGGTGTCGGACTGGGTGACTGACGGGGGCAGGTGGGAGGAGGAGGAGGTGGGGAGGAGATGGGGAGTGGAGGAGGAGGTGGGAGTGGAGGAGGAGGTGGGGTGGAGGAGGGTGGGGAGGGAGGTGATGGGAGAGGGGGAAGGAAAATTTGGGGAGGAGGAAAGGAGGGGGTACTATTATAATTTTTTAAGGGGGGTTGGAGGGGAGGAGGGAGTTAGGTAAGTGGTAAGGTGTTTGGATTTTTATAGATATTAACTATGTACGGAAATTGCAGAGTGCATGCATACTTGTACCCAAATACCAACATGCAAACACACACGCAGGAGGATGGTAAGGAAGGAAGGGATGATGGGGGGTCTTGCTCTACAGTAGTCTTGGGATGGAAGAGGGAGGAAGGAAGGAAGAGTGCTTATGTCCCGCGCTACACACAGAGTGAGGTTACTGCTCTCTCTCTCTCTCTCTCTCTCTCTCTCTCTCTCTTTCTCCTACTCTCTCTCCTTGACTAGCAAACATATCGTACTCAAAGAGTTAAAAACATCGTACAGTGATACTCAAGTAGATGCGTGTCATAGTAAAAAAGAGGTTTTTTTGTTATCGTACTCAAGGGACTTAAAAACATCGTATACTCAAAATTTAAAAAAACACGTCATGGTATAAACGACCCATCAAATAAAAGGCCATTAATTACCTCGTCTTGTCATGATTAAACAACTCTTCCTAATTGCTTCGACCTAATTACACTAATAACTACTCGTGTCTTGTAGTTATGCTTCATTAGGTCTTTTATTTTGAACCATTTTGATATACAGTATAACTTTTTTTTTAACTAATAACTTGGTGGGAATATTGAGGATCTTGTAAAAAGTTATACGAATTGTAATGTTTTTGTTCTTATTTATTTCGTCTTTGTTTTTTGTTTTTATTTATTTTCTTTGTTTTTTGTTTATTTGTATGTTATTTTTTTTGTTTTTAGTTTGTCATTTTTTTATTTGTGTTATTGTTTTTTGTTTGTTGTTATTTGTCTTTTTTTAATTGTTTGCTATTGTTTATGTTTTTAGTTATTTTGTCTGAGTTTTTTTGTTTCTTATTGTTTCTGTTTTGTTGTTATTGTGTTGCTGTTTTTGTTGTTCTCTTTTCTTTTAGCTGTCATTCTATCATGAAGCTGACGAAGACCTGACATCCTCCTGACGTTCCTAGACTGACGTGACTAACTGACACTGGGGTAATGTTTTGTGGGGAAGGAACCGTAGGCAGAAAAAGGAGTGGGGTGAGGAGAGGGTGAAGGAGGGGAAGGAGGGAAGGGAGATGAGGGAGAGGGTGAAGGAAGAAGAGAAGGAAGGAAGGGGGAGGTGAGGGGGAGAGAATTGAAGGAAGAAGGAAGGGGAGAGGGTGAAGGAAGGAAGGAGGGGGTGAGGAGAGGGTGAAAGGAGGGAAGGGGGGGGTGAGGGAGGGGTGAAGGAAGGAAGGAGGAAGGGTGAGGAGAGGGTGAAGGAAGGAAGGGAAGGGAAGGGGGTGAGGGAGAGGGTGAAGGAAGGAAGGAAGGAGGGAGGGGGGTGTTATTATCTGGTCAATATATGAGCTTACCAGTCCCTTGTCTACGCCTGTATTCTTGTTGTTGTTGTTGTTCTTCGAAACCTCAGCTAATATGGCATAGTGATAGGAGATACATACATACATTACCACTACACACACACACACACACACACACACACAACCACACAACACAAAACACACACACACACACAACCACACAACACAAAACACACACACACACACAACCACACACACACACACACACACACACACACAACCACACAGACACACACACACACACACACACACACAACCACACAACACAAAACACACACACACACACAACCACACAACACAAAACACACACACACACACAACCACACACACACACACACACACATTTGACAGACAGGCAATTAATCCTCTGCGTGTATAAGATCTGAACCAATCTCTATGGGCATTTCGATACCTTTTATACTCATAGCTCCTTCCTGTTGCCTCCTACGCGTCATTATCCAACCTTCACCTCGTGCAACAGTAAGAGTTGACTAGATAAAATAAACTAGGATGATAAAATAAACAATGATTTAACCTGTAGTAATAATAGTTGTTGTGTAAGCTAGTGTAGGTGGAAAATATCTCCCTAATTAGCAGTTGAATATCCCTTACCATTCCTCACTTAATTCTCTCCCTGCTGCTAATCGTCTCCACTATATGAGAAAGTTACTGAAGATGATAAGAAATGTCTGATTATTTCTCTTCTTCTCTGTTTTGTGTTGTTGTTTGTTTACTTTGATTGTTATTATTGGTGTAACTTGATGTATGGCAATGTTGTTTCAGTAGAGCATTTGGTCACTACTTCAGCAGGCCTCAGGGGATAAGAGGTATTGATGCTGACGCTGGCCACTACAGCCGGCGGGACACAGGTACATGATACGTTACTGAAAAATGGTCCTCTGATAAACACGGATTTACAACATGATAATTAACGCCATATTGACGTGACAAAAGCGACCTTTGAAACAAACAGACGATCAAACCAAAAACTAACAGGTAGATATGTACTAACTTGGCCATTTGGATTGGTGTGGTCATACAAACAGACTTCATCAATCTTTTGCCTCGAGTCTCACCTGTGATGCCAACAGACAGACAGGTGAGCGAAATATTGTAGGAGAAATGTCTATAAAATGATGATAAAAAACAACACATTATGGAAACTCTCATCACGCCTTGGAGGTTTATTGTTTTGTGTGTGTGTGTGTGTGTGTCGTGTGTGTGTGTGTGTGTGTGTGTGTGTATGTGTCGTGTGTGTGTGTGTGTGTGTGTGTGTGTGTGTGTGTGTGTCTCTCTCTTGTGTGTGTCGTGCAGGAGCGTCATCACCCAGCACACACCACTGAGTCAAGTAACGACGCCGCCATCAAGCCATTACACTGACTGCCGCCTTGCGTCTCCTGGGAGAGTAGGAGGGAGGGGTCAGTGTAGAGAGAGGGAGAGGTATTGACAAAGGTATTAACCGGCTGTTAACCCCTGCCCTCAAAAAGGATTAAGACCTGTTTGCTAGGACCTGTTTGCTAGGACCTGTTTGCTGGGAACTGTTTGCTAGGACCTGTTTGCTGGGAACTGTTTACTAGGACCTGTTTGCTAGGACCTGTTGCTGGCACCTGTTTCCTAGATTCTTTTTGCTAGGACCTGTTGCTGGGAACTCTTGCTAGGACCTGTTTGTAGGACCTGTTTCTTGGACCTGTTTCCTATTCTTTTGCTAGGACCTGTTGTTGGGACCTATTTCCTAGATTCTTTTTGCTAGGACCTGTTGCTTGGACCTGTTTGATAGGACTTGCTTACTAGGACCTGTTTGCTGGGACTTAGACAGACACAAAGAGGTAAGCAAAACAAACGCGTCCACAGCCCCCCCCCCCCCTCGTTACCTATATGACTGTCAGGGCGGAAAGATGACTGGTTTATGACAGACAAAGCAGACCTTGGTGAGACAGGGAGAGCGACAGACAGACAGAAAGACAGTCAGTGTAATAAATAAGTTGACAGCGAAACAGACAATAATAATAATAATAATAAATAAGACAAAATTGACCTTGAATATTTATAATTTCTAGACAAAAACTTTTAACAATATAATTTCAAATATTTTCGTCTCTTTTCAGCCATGACGTGTACTCCGCATCCACCAATGACACGACGACATTCCCGACCATCATCCAAGGTGATTGGTTCTCCTGGGAAAATGGACGGGGCATGGAAACAGAAATTTTCCCTAATGAGATAATCTGGGGCAAACCTATAGACCGGGAGGTGATTCGTCGAAGTACCAGTACGTCTTCATCCACCAATCAGGTGCTTGTGTCAGATTCATCGTCAGGTCCTGGAACGTCATAGAGACTGGAAAGTAAGGGTAAACATGGCTTCTGATTGGCTGTGGTTAATTACTTTAAAACAAAAAGTGACGTCGGAAAAGATATTGTGATTTTCAGCTTTTTAATTTTAATATATTTATTCTAAAAGCAATATAGATAGATGGGGGATAGAGATGGACAGATAAATGTGAGACAGATGGATAGAGATAGAGAGAGAGAAACAAAGGCCGGAGATGAAAACACAAAGGAATTAATCTCAGCTCAGAAAAACATCCAAATCCTCTCTATGAAAATTATCTCCCATATCTCAGGAAATGAACCACCAGAGCGATTAACTGTTTTACTTACACTGCTAGACCACAAGATAGTGTGTGTGTGTGTCATCCTGGGAGTCTGTAGGGAATGAGATAATTACATGATGTGAGGGGAGAAGGAGGGAGAGGGAAGGAGGGAGAGGGAAGGAGAGAGAGGGAAGGAAATTGGTTAGATATATGGAGTGTGTGTGTCTGTCTCTCTGTCTTGGTTTGTCTGGTATGAGGTCTTTCCGTCTGTTTTTGTTTGTATTATTTTTTTTTGCCTGTCTCAATGTCTGTTTGTCTGTCTGTTTATCTACCTGTCTGTCTATCTCTGTCTGTTTATCTACCTGTCTGTCTATCTATCTGTTTGTCCCTTCTACACTTGATGAATAGTAATGTAGTTTTTTTTAATCTACATCTCAATACTTCTTCCAGGTTCGTGTATCAGTCGGAGAAGCCTGAAGGAGGAGGTATCGGCGTCGTCAGTGTGTGTTCTGCAGGAGGGTAGGCACGGCTACCTCATGTTCAGGCAAGACCCGACCTTCCTTAACTGTCGGCCAGCCATACACGGTCTCTACCACTTCGCCTGGCAGAACAGATTCAGGTGAGAGAGAGAGAGAGAGAGAGAGAGAGAGAGCAACGTAACCCCAGTCTGTGATGACATATGGTACAGTCTGCCTTGCAAGGAGTTCGTCAAATCAATGGTATACTTTCACTCAGCTACGGGTGACCTGTCTGTGTGTACCTCGACGATGCTTTGATGTTTTTAACAGTTTATGCGCCTCTGGAGACCATATCGACTCACCTGACTGCCATCCCTCTCTAGTGTAATGACAATGCGATATGTACTTTATTTACGGTGACATTTACGCCGTAGTTGAATACTTATATGGCCCTACAATAACACAAAACTAAGTACCTTCATTGTGGGCCATCAAAGTATTCAACTACTGCATAAATATCACCGTAAATAGTCTGCCTTTACTAACTGGGAGTCCTTTCATACATAGTTGGGTTGGTATACTTGTCCTTAACCACAAACACAACAAAAAACTATATGACCCACGGAGCTAACCCGATGTTACGTGTTGTAGTACTGAAGTTTGTCGCCAGGAGTACTGAGCGTCTAGTGGAGGCAGTAAATGGTTGGGGTACTGTAGAGGAGGAGGTCGTGTAGGAGTGGTGAGGGTACTGTAGGGGAGGAGGGAGGTCGTAGGGGAGGGGAGGGTACTGTAGGAGGAGGAGGTGTAGGAGGGTGAGGGTACTAGAAGGAGGAGGGAGGGCGGGGAGTGGTGAGGGTACTGTAAGAGGAGGAGGAGGGCGTGTAGGAGTGGTGAGGGTACTGTAGGAGGAGGGAGGCTGTAGGGAGTGGTGAGGGTACTGTAGAGGAGGAGGTCGTAGGAGTGGTGAGGGTACTGTAGGAGTGGTGAGGGTACTGTAGGGAGGAGAGGTGTAGGGAGTGGTGAGGGGTACTGTAGGAGGAGGAGGGCGTGGGGAGGGTGAGGGTACTGTAGGGAGGAGGAGGTCGTGTAGGGAGGATGAGGGGGCTGTAGGAGTGGTGAGGGGTACAGTAGGAGGAGGAGGGCGTGGGGAGTGGTGAGGGTACTGTAGGAGGAGGAGGGCGGTAGGGGAGGGTGGAGGGTACTGTAGAGGAGGAGGTCGTAGGGAGGAGAGGGACTGTAGGGAGTGGTGGGGGGTACTGTAGGAGGAGGAGGGTGGGAGGTGGGAGGGGTACTGTAGGAGGGGAGGAGGGCGTGTAGGGAGTGGTGAGGGTACTGTAGGAGGGAGGAGGAGGGCGTGTAGAGTGGTGGAGGGTACTAGGAGGAGGAGGGCGTGTAGGGGAGGGGAGGGTACTGTAGGGAGTGGTGAGGGTACTGTAGGGAGGAGAGGCGTGTAGGGAGTGGTGAAGGTACTGTAGGAGGAGGAGGAGGAGGGCGTGGGGAGTGGTGAGGGTACTGTAGGAGAGAGGCGTGTAGGGAGTGGTGAAGGTACTAGGAGGAGGAGGAGGAGGGCGTGTAGGGAGTGGTGAGGGTACTGTAGGAGGAGGAGGTCGTGTAGAGTGGTGGAGGGTACTGGGGAGGAGGAGGGAGGGCGTGTAGGGGAGTGGTGAGGGTACTTGTAGGAGGAGGAGGTCGGGGAGTGGTGAGGGTACTGTAGGGGAGGAGGAGGGAGGGCGGGGAGGGTGAGGGTACCAGGAGGAGGAGGTCGTGTAGGAGTGGTGAGGGTACTGTAGGGGTGAGGGTACTGTAGGAGGAGGAGGGCGTGTAGGAGTGGTGGAGGGTACTGTAGGAGGAGGAGGTCGTGGGAGTGGTAAGTACTGTAGAGGAGGAGGGCGTGTAGGAGTGGTGTATACTGTAGAGAGGAGGGCGTTTAGAGTGGTGTTGGTACGTAGAGGAGGAGGATGGCGTGTAGATATGTAGCAGTGTACAGTTGGTCCTGGAGTGTGTTGTTGTGTTGCCCCTGTTTTCGCCCCATTTACACCTATCTCAACCTTTCCTACACCTACTTCCACCCTCACTACACCCCACACACCCCACACCATACCCACACTCCACCTTCCCACACCCACACACCACACCCACCTTCCTACACCCCACCTTCCTACACCCACCCACCTTCCTACACCCACCTCCACCTTCCCCACACCCACACCCACCTTCTACACCCCACTATGCCTGTTTACTGTCTTTTATATAACCTCATTTTCCCTGTTTCTCCATTTCTCTCATTTCTTCCTTCCTGTACCCTCCTCCTTCCTCCTTCCTCCCTCCCTCCTTCCTTCCCTCCCGTCCCCTCCTCAAACTTTCCCTCTCCTCCCTCCCGTAATTACCCACTACCCACTCCAACTTTCACATGGCGTCCTCCCTCTCTCTCTCTTAACTCCCACACAATTTAATCTCATATGTATATGTCTACAAACCTATTAATATGTTTTCTTTATATTATTTGTTTACCTCCGTTTACTTGTGCTTATTTATCAGTGTTTGCCTGCGTTAATATACATGTATTTACCAGTGTTTACCTGTGTCTAATTACCTTGTTTACCTGTGTTTCAGCTTCACGGGAGAATGTAACCATCCAGGGCTATCCTCAAGTCGTGCCAGGAGCCAGGTAGCCAGTTCCTCATCGACAACCAGATGTTCTCCTCACAGTACAGGAAGTGCCAGGGCATAGGTCACTCCTTTGATGCCAGTGAGTGTTTCTTGCAACCCTTTGGAGAGAGAGAGAGAGAGAGAGAGAGAGAGAGAGAGAGAGAGAGAGAGAGAGAGAGATTCCCAATGAAATACTGTAATCTATTTGCATACAACTTTTCCATCCAAACACCATCTCACCTGGCCCTCCCACTCCCCAGCTGTGGTGTTCTCGTGCCTGGGTGACTGGTATGTGGGCGGGAATCATTACTTCACCGTTGTCAATACCAGGGAGTCCAGGAAAGAGGAGAAATACCGCTGCTTCGTCAGGAACAGGGAGGACGACCTGTACATGGGTCACTCCATTACCCCGGAGTGTTCTGTGCTCAAGACCCCAGAGAACAGCCCCGTCAGGTTCAGGCTGTCTTATGGTGAGGAGGGGAGGGAGGAGGAAGGGTTGTGGAGGGAGGAGGGATGGAAAATTAAGCCTCATTTACATTAAAAAGAAAATTATTATTATTACCGACAAAAACCTTTAAAAATAATTCATCATCTTCTTACCTTCTGCAACTCTTTCAGTAAAGCATGAGGAGGTGAGCCCCGGGTGTTTCCTGCCGAGGAACCTGACGGGCAAGTGGCAGTCTACGGGGAAGGAGCCGAGATGCTGGTCAACGCCACCCATATCAAGGAGACAACCTGGCGGGGGGCTCGGCCAAGACCTCCTCCTACGTGTGTCTCCAGCATCGTGGTAACCGCTTCCTTATGGCCAAGCTCAGTGTGGAGGGCTGGTGAGTACTGGTGACACATACACTATTTATGAAATCCGTGTTCTTTGGGTGAGACTTGAACATGTGTCGTGTGATATAGCATTATACAGCCTTGTTTCCTCACCATTTTCAAACCTGATATGAAAAGCCCTACAATGATTTAGTCTTATGTAGTTTCAATGACGGTCGATTCGGAATCTTTGTGAAGCAGGTTCGAATCCTCCTTAAAATTAGTTATTTTAATACAAATTACAAATGTTAATGTTATAGATGCACCATCTTCACCTTACCTAATAACTCAAGTATTTGTTGTCCGCAGTCAGACGGAGCATGCGTGTTGGGAGCTGCTGTCACGCCACCATAACATCGCGTCAGGTAAATCACTCACCTGGCCTCTCTCATCTCGCAGCTTCCAGGTGTGTGACTACTCCAACTTCAGGAGCGGCCGAGAGTGGAAGTACGATACTCTCATAGGTGGGTCCCTAAGCCGACGTGTAGTGTGTGTGTAATAATAATAATAATAATAATAATAATAATAAACGGTTTATTGAAAAAGTTCTGCAGCTCGAAGGCTGAAAATATACATTGGACATAAATGACTTATTACATACATTGGTGGTTTAACAAAAGCCTTTATTAGAGAAAGGTAAAGGAACATACAGTGTACATACAAATTAATGTAGGTGTTGAACAGCAAACACGTAGTGTAATAACTCTCTCCCAGATAGTGTTAAGAGGGACCTCATGTGGTGTAGTAGTTCTCTCACAGATGGTGTTATGAGAGACCACGTGGTGTAGTAATTCCTTCACAGATGGTGTTATGAGGGACCTCACGTGGTGTAGTAATTACCTCACAGATGGTGTTATGAGGGCCTCACGGTATAGGATTCTCACAGATGGTGTTGTGAGGGGCATCACGTGGTGTACGAATTCCTCACAGATGGTATGAGAGGGCCTGACGTGGTGTAGTACCCTCACAGATGGTGTTATGAGGGACTTGACGTGGTGTAGTAATTCTCCATATGGTGTTATGAGGACCTGACGGGTGTAGTAATTCCTCACAGATGGTGTTATATGAGTGAGATGTGGTCCCAGGCCTTCCTATCGTAGACAGATTAACACATATCTGGTTGTTGTTGGGTCTCACGGGCCGTTATCACTGGGTACCTGGGACCTCACTGTGTGAAGGTTAACTTGGGTACGACTGTTACTGTTGAGTTGTTCTCACTGACTTAAGCACTGTTCACATCACTGTTCACCCTGTTTAACACTGGTTCCATTCCTTTCCTAAATGAAATTGTAACTTCGGCAGAACTTGATATTCGTGAGGTGGGTTCAGGAGGGAGTTGGTATGGGCCAACGTAATAGTTGACCTGGCTGCTCCGGAGAGGAGCCAGGTACGTCTTGACCTCTCGGTGGCTGGCGATGTAGTGTGTGTGTGTGGCACCAGGATACATCTTCACATCTTGTCGTCTCACAGTAGTCTATGATTTCTTTCTCGTTTTGTCGTCTCAGTGTCAATCACGCCACCATTTCCTTACCTCCTCCTCTCAGCTCTCAATAATCCTCTTATGTACGGCCATTTGCGTCGATCCTGACCCAAATCTTCCCTTTAAATACCTAAAACGGTCTGTGGGGATAATTTCTTCCTCACCTCCCACCCCTCACGCTCCTCCACCAGTGAACTTGTCAGAATATCTACTGGAGTCATATTTCTACTAAACCGCTAATATTGGTCACTTTCTCACTCAGCTGATACACCAGACCCGATCTCCTGTCCCCTTGGAGGTCGATTCTCATTCGGGCAAAGTGGTCCATCACCCCTCACACCTCGCATCGTTGGGGGCATTACCTCGTCCCCTCTAGACACTTACCCTTGCCACACCCGCGTCTCGGATATGTCTGTATGTGACGAGAACCGTAAATGGATCATCATTGACACGGACCTCTGCCTCTCCCTCAACAAGGACGGTCATCCAGTGGACTTCAACAGTGAGTAGTGTTGGTGAAGATAGATAAAAAGTTGACTCTGATCCGATTCTTTTGTTTATGGGAATATATACAGTATAGATTATTTTTTCTTGTCCCGTTTGTATATTTTGAAGATAATTGACGTTTTTTTTTTAGATCTAGGTATGATTTTGATGATCGAAAAAGCAATGACGAGACACTGAACTATTGTGATTGTCGTTTTATATTAGTTACAATGCTGGCCACGTGCTGCTTAATATCTCATATTGTTCTTTTTATCATTTTTATTACTCATTATTACTGTTTATTGCTTGTTATTGGTGTCATTTTCACTGTCATTATACTTTTTTTTATTTCACTTATTATTGTGGTTATTTCTCGTTATTTATGGCATCTTATTGTTGTTGTTATTAAGATTATTATTATTCTATTACTCTCTTGACATATGTTATAAAATTGTCCATGTTATCAAAGTTATTACGTTATCCTCTATGTTATCCCAATTCTTCAATCTGTTTCAGTCTCTTTAATGTGAAAAATTGTATAGTTATTCCGAGGATTTAAACATCGACGTTTTCTTTTTCTTCCATTCTCTATCACACTGAGTTTAGGCCATACTCCTCTATATTGAACTTAGAAACGCTGCCATTGTCTCACACGTATATAAAAGCCAATCGGTGACCTTAATAATGTAAGTTTCAGATAGTGACAATTTGTATACTGTAAGTGTGCACGTTCATGTGTAGATTGTTTGTAAATTGTAAGTGTACAGTATACGTTCGTGTGTTTGTAAATTGTAAGTGTACGTTTTTATATATGTAAATTGTGTGTGCGTTCATGTGCATTTAAAATTGCATAAATTGTATTTGTGTACGTTGACGACTAAACTGTAAATGTGTTACGTTCATGAGTCTAAATTGTAAGTGTGTATGTTTATGTATCTTTTTAAGTGCATGGTCCACATGTCTTTATAAATTGCAGGTACTCTATGTTTACTGTATGTATTAGTTGAAAGGGTTCTGATATTAAGCCTCTATCTTTAATTGGTATTTGAGAGAAGAGAGAGATAGAGATTTTGTATTAACTTTGTCTTTCTGTCGCAGGTGTGACCGACTACCGCCTTCAGTGTATAGGGTACTGGCAGAGAACCTCTTGTCCTACCTCATCACCCACGACCCGTCTGATTCTGTGTCAAGGTTCAGGTGCTGGGTGAGTACAGTATCTTCTTTCTCTTTTGTCAAGATTGAGAAATGTTTGTTTAAGTTTTTGGTAATAATAATAATACAGATAAAACAATAATAGTAAAATAGTTGAGTTATACAAACAAGTTAACTCCGTTTTCTGTTACAGGTGTACCAGGGTCGGGTAACTAAAATACTCATGTCACAGTCAGTGGGAGGGGCGTGGTCTGCGGCAAAACTTCCTCTCCTCCACATACGAAGAGAGCGCCGCTGTTGCGCTTAATCTCACACTTAGTGAACGCCTTTGTGAGTTTTTCTTTAATGATTTATTGACATACTGGAGTTTATTTCATACGTACTGTACACGCATAGATATATAGCTGTTATATTTTGGGTCAAGATTTAGAAAGCGTATTTGCTTTCCTGATTCTTCAAAATGTTTTAGACTGTCTCTATATGTCCTGAATTTTTCCTTCTAAAATTTTGACCACATTTCCGTCTTCGCCGTTTCCAGACGACCAGTGCCCCATGTTTTATGACAATGGCAAGGACCCTTGGCAGCCCAGGGACGAGATGTTCACTATCTTTAGGTTCTCGAGTCACGCCCCCTCCCTCTACGTCACCGCTGACGTCACCATACTTCTTCCACTCGTCATGCTGATTAGCTGGAAGTGATATACAGTTTAACCTTAATAACATTTAATTTACTGTGGCTGTGATCTTAGTATTGTCTTTATGTATCTAGATATTAAGGAGATGTCTTGTGAGCATTATTATTATTATTATATATCAGTGTTTTCGTTGGGTTAATAAGAATCTTAATGCTAGAATAAATGCACCACTGTTTGGGTCTTCCATACAGTGAGGTGACCAGGACTTTCTTAGTGAGAGTGACTGTGTGAACTTTTGTCTTGTCTTTGTAAGGAAAATAACTGACTGAGGAAGATAAACAACCATACTTTTAAAAGACTCGTTGTTGGGGCATACAGAACACTAATAGCGTAATGTTGACTAATATGGATAAATAATGATTGTTAGGTGTTGTGAAGGTCAGCAATGTGTACAGTACTCTAGAATGCGTCAAGCTAATGTTTGTATCAGAGTAACAATGTGCAAACCTCATTAATTGAAGTAGAGATAGAGCCAAAAAGCCCTTAACATGGATCATCCTTGGTGTGATTTCTTCAAGGTGAGAACTGTTGTATTGATTAAAGCTTTTCCTGTCGGGTATTATGGCTAGTCCTGTAGGTGAGAAATGAGAGGACCTGACAGTTTCCCTTATACACAGTCATGAGAGGTTGTATATGTGGTAACCTTAAACTAAATGGAAACTATTCATATTACTTCAGATAAATGATGATATGTTATTGATATGATAGATGGATTAGAATTATCTTTAGTTATGGTCTTATGTATCTGTGAGATGATGTACTTTAATGCAACTATTATCTGGTATCTTTGATTCGGTATTTCAGAGATGGGGAATATTTTTAATGGTGGTTATATTTTGTAATGGAAAGTTCTATGGGTTGAGGTTAGCTGGTCTCTGAGAGGTCCAGTGAGGAACACCCCTCCCCAGCGGTCCAGTATTAGATGTAGAACACAGAGAAACCCTGCCGTGTTCAGTAGTCACTAGATAATTCTCACTGAACATGGATCGTAGTGATGAAAGGGAACCGTTTTACAGCCGTGCAAAAAAAAGAAATAATAACATGAATAACTAAATGTAGACTTCTGAGTAATATTTTACTCTTTGTATATGAAGGATAGCTTAAGGAACACATGACTATTATTCAGTATACGTGCTGAGAAAGTGTGGTACTGTAACACTATTTCGAGCTGTATAATACTTACCTCTTGAATATTTTGTGATAGTAACGTTCATGAATTTCGTTAATAGACTAAGTTTGTCTAATTTTAATAATTATTTGGAGGGATGATTAGCAAAACGTCAGGGAAAGATCATTAAATTTCCTTGTTAGATGCTCGAGTTGTTAGAGGACGGGATTAACTGGATTAACTATAGAGGAATGATATGAATGAAGAAAAGTATGAACCAAATACTTCATAGAGATATAAGGATATAAAACTTGCGTGAGGGTGAAGGACCTCTACCACAGCCCAGAGTCTCTTTACACTATATATTGCTCAACACTGTCTGGTGAAGTAAAGTGATACGCATCCTTAAAAAGAACTCGAACGCAAGTCAGTCAGTCAGTTCACTAGTGTATAATTGATCTAGGACACAGGATTATATATTCTGTTTATGTAATTCAGTTCCAAGTAACAAAGAGACGATAGTAAAGATACTGTATATATATATATGTGCAAAGTCAGGTCATCCCTCCCATCAACATTGTTTTGCTACTTAAGATAGATTCAAAGTTCATAAGGAATAGTTAAAAATCACCGTATACCAAAGTCGTATCAGGAAGCCGTTGTGATGCTTTTTTTGTGTGTAAATAAATTGTTGGTGTTGTGAGGAACGGAGGGCTGCATTTCACCCATTCACCCCACCATGATGTTTTCTCCCACCTTTGTTTTGACATTTGATTCTTTCGATTCGGTTCTGTGATTGTAATTTCCTGTTTTTATTCGATACAAATTATGGCCACACTTCACAAATTCAAATCTGGAATCAGGGATACAATGACATGCGCTGTAAGGTTAAGTTTCATTATTTACTATAGCATTATTATTTGGGCTAGTCAGTGGCAGGTTCTCAGCAGTTCCTATTACTAGTGTAAATAACCCAGCTTGCAACACAGCTGTACCCAAAGATCTAGAATGTGAGTGAATTTACCACCGTTTCTGTATCCTTCTCATGCAGTAAATTGGTAATTCTTCATCAGGTTTATTTTGGTGAGAGAAATAATCAACCGCAGAGATATTTATAAAATCGTTGTAATATTTTATTTTCGTCCATTTAATATTTATTTGGAGTTATTTAAATTAGTAATCCGGCTATATGCTGAATGGGAAAGAATGACGCAAACTCTTGACCGAGTGTAAGCAAACCACTGAACACCAAGTAACTCCTGTTTGTATTATTACTAAATGTTTTGTACATTTCTCTCTACTGTTTTTATTCTCATAGTTGTTATGGTCAGTAAACACTCATGTTGATGAAGACACATTTGTCCGTCCATGTTTAGTTTTTATAATCAGATCAGTATTGGGCCCATAATATGTACAAAGTTATTATGTGATTGTAGTTATTAAATATTATGTTACTTTTATACTTGCTAATATAAATAAATTTCCAAGAACGTATTGAAATAAACTTGGATAAGAAATTGTTTTGTTTTTTCACATGTTATCATTTTTTTTAATAAATCAATTAAGAGACCTCGTACAAAGAGACGACTTACCTTCATTGTAAAGCTGGAATTTCGGTGGGAGTGTTGGAGAAAATGGTGGAGCTGAATAGAACATATAACCATTCCGTAGAAATCACTGCCAGTACAGTCATTGTAATATCAATAATTATATTTTTTTACATGAGCTACACCTGCGATAAAGCCCATTTTTTATAATATTTTTAAGTCACGGAGCTAGAGTCGGAAACGTTTGAGTAAAGTTGACGTTCTTTCTAGTTTTTCCTATATATTTTACCATGTTACCATATTTTGTTGAACTGTTGTTAGAGGGATCTGTTTTCACCGTTTTTATTTATTTTTATTTTTTTTATTGGGCATCCCCCAACATCCTTGTGGAGGTGAAGCGCAGAAGCGTTTACAGCGCCCAACAGGGAAGCATGCTTATGTCTCATGCGTTAAGGGCGTAGAAGCCTGAAGAGTCAGTGGTTTATGTCTAAGCAAGTTATTGAAGTCTCAACAACTTGTCCCTGAATACGAATTCGCAACTTCCGATTTACAGCAGGTACCTACTGTGCTAAGGTGAACAGGGACGAAGGGGACTAGGAAGAGTGTCCAAACAACTTCCGCCGGCCCGGGAATCGAACCCGTGACATATTCACCGAGCTGTCATCAGTTGTGTATTAGTGAGCTTGTGGGAAACTCTAATAGCCAAATACTATATAAACTGAAAATAATTACCACGATATAGAATCGTAAGCTATTCTCGGAATACTTCTGTGTATCTACAGCAGACAACGTAGCAAACAAACACGATAGAAGCCATTGAAAAATAGGAAAATATAAATTGAAGACTGAAAGACGAGTAACACCACAGAAGTACAAGAAAATGCCATTAGAATAACTCCGGACCACACACACACAAGGTAAGTTAAGTTGACAACGGACTGTCATGCAAACTGAAGAAATATTGATGCATAATCTTATTAAGAATTGATAGGTTCGTGTTATTTGTTGTGAAGGACGACTTAACCCACGTATCAATTGTGTGCTACTTGATGATAATTATGTGGTTGTATTAGATAGTATTTGACAGTGGACGAGTTGAAGGTCGGAATTTTTGAGTACGATGGCAGGTCAATGGGAAAGAAAAAGCTTAAATTCACTATGGTAATGATATTTTTAAATAAATTGGACAAAAAGTGTCAGAAATAAGGGTTAAAGTTGCTAAAAAGTCACGTGACTGCGAAAAGCTCTGTGATTGGTTTTGACGTCTCTGGTTGGGGGGAACTTACCACCGGGAGGCAGCTGTAGTTGTCCAACCTTCTCAGCTGATTGGCTCAGTAAATAAATATTATTAGCTAATTAATTGTGCTTTATTGTGCAACACAGTAATACTATTTTGAATATATAAATATTACTAAGCACATTAACTAATTCAATGGATATTAGCTGCCCATACAACAAATTTCATAGTATAAACATTCGAAACAATATTCATATTATTTTGGTTTTGGTCAACTACTGTAAGTAACCTTAAGATTCTAACTATGGGCTTAAGTACTTTAAACAATAAGACACATTATCTCTACAGGATTTCTGTCGCAAAACATACTTCGATCGCATAAGAAAATACAGATCATAGGTTAGGTTAAGTTATGATAAGTTACAAGGTAAGGGGGATAGTAACTCAAAACTAGTGATATCCGATAAAAATTAAGCCATCAGAAAAAAACCCAGTCTGTATGTCTATGTACAGGGATGACCAAAACATAAAATTTACCCGATATAGCCTATCTCGAATCTAAACTTATGGTAGTTATAGTGAATGGATGAAATTAGTTAGTCCTATTTTATTTCCGTTTTCTCTTATTGAGTTCAAGTATCAGTTTTCTATGGCTGCAATGGCTCTCCGTTAAATAATTTAAAAAAAATATTCAGGTTAGTTAAAGACTTAACACCCTTTAAACTGTTATGGCAAATATAAACCAGGTGTAAAGAATACCAACTTTACTTTTGATAAATAATTGAAGGTGTAATCTGAGTAGACAGGACAAGCTGCGGCAAGAATCAGAGACTTGGCTGCGACATTCCACAGTCCCCCCCGACCCCACCCACCACCATGGAGTATTAACCTTTCGCACCCCACCTCAGCTCTTAGCCCGGCTGAGTCTTGCATATATTATATTATTTTATAGTTCTTTATTGCAATTATCTCGCTTGCATCCTGATACATTGATGATGTTGAGAATAGCGAATCCGAGACATCACCAACTTGATTGAAATTCGCTGAAGCACAGACTAATATACTATGTAGAAAGTGGATTGC